CAAGCTTTAATCTTTTTTGTTGGCTTCAACCCAAGAAGAAAGAAGAGGGGTGTGGGTGGGGGTAGGGGTAGGGAGGGCATTCTTTATATTCAGTTTGGGTGTTTCTTTGGGTAGGTATGCTGCATGTAAAAATGGAGAGTATGGGGTTTGGGAAGATGGGGTGGTAAATTAGATTAAGGCAAAACACTTGGATTGATAACAATATTGGTTGAGATACCAAAACAGAGGGCAAGTAAAATTAAGTTTCCATGAGTTCAATAGGATCCTCAAGAATCAAATTTTTAAAGTTAGGCTAGTGGAAGTTCCATCATTTTTTTTTAATAACTTTTAGAATAAGCAAAACATAACTGTTGTGATTTTGCTTTTATTGAAACAGTCTATCTACCTTCACACACAGTAGGTACAAGGTCCGTACATACTACTTTCCCCGGACTTCACTTGCGGGAATACACTGGGTATGACACTGTTGTTAGTATAAGCAAAACGCCAGAAATAGGGCTAACCATATTGGTAAATATCAAAGTAAATAGAATTTTTCTGGATACACCTCTATGAATCTACAGTGTTATTTTCAACTCGGAATCTTGTAGCGAAGCTTTTCTATTTGATTATTCAGAAACGTATCTCATTTTTTTCCAATTTTTCTATCATTATCAGTTTGCCTAAGTGTATCCAAAGATGACATGGTTGCACTAATTAGGTTGGGTGAGAGGGAGTCAAAGGTGACCATAAATGAGTTTAGTTGGTTGTAGTTGAAATTAAAGCTAGCGGCAAAAACTCATGAACTAGTAAGTGACAATTTCTTCTGTTTTTGCCCCATCTGTTTGGATCTTTGTCTAAATGAAGTGGTTAAGAATCAAAGGAATAATCCCTATACGACAATATAAAACCATCAACTTTTTCAGCTTCCTGATCCTACTTAGATTTTGGTGCCAGCTGCAAGCACAAACTGTTGAATATCTGCATCTTTAACAAGAGACTTATGGTGTTTACTTTGAGATCTTAGCTAATATAAATGAATCCTGTATGCGTTTAGAAAAAAAGTATTTTTACAATTAGATTATACAATTTAGTTAGAATAGCACTTATATTGGATATTGTGTTTGTCTGGAGAATTTTTATGAGCATTTGTAATCTGGTCAATGGATTTATATAACTTGGGATTTAGGGATAGTTTAGATTGATTGATTGTTGCTTCTCCTAGAAAAGAGAGAGAAGTAAGCTGATAAATACAAACTTGGATTGACTCAGTTAGTTATTGGAAGGAGTAAAACCAATCTGTAGTGACTCATTCATCAACTGTTACAATGAGTAACATCAGTTTGGGAAAATGCAGCAGCTGGTTGAAATATTGTTTTATTATACTATGTATTTTTTGTTGTTATTATTGAGGATTGTGCCATTTGTTATATTGTCCATATTGTTGAATATAGCAGTAAGTTTTACAGTTTGATGGTTATATCTGCAGAAATAAGGTGTTTGTATGTTGCTGAAGAATTTCATGGAGGATAAGCAACTGAATTTGAGTCAACCCTTTCTGTCAGTAAGACGAGTCTCTCCAACAGCGGCTTCTGGGAGAGATGAGACGAAGAAAACTGAATATTCTCTCCCCACCGTAACTCATCCTCCTCGTTACAAATCAGAACTGAAGTCAGGTCCAGTGAGGAACCCAGGAGTTGTACCTTTCCTCTGGGAACAAAGCCCTGGAAAACCCAAGTATGAAAGCAAACGGCAGATTCGGGCTTCTGAAAAACCACCTATGGCACCGAGACTTCCCCCAGGGAGGAAGCTGAAAGATAACCAGGATTCTGATAATGCTCATGAGAGTCAAAATGTTAGTAAGAGCCAAATAGGAAATGCTCAACATTCCACACCGAGCTGCATGAAATTGGACGAGAAGGCGAAGAAGATTGATAGCATTGACTGCTCAAAAGAAATTAAACAGGATAAGGAAAAAAGTGAATCAGAGGATGGTGATGAAGCATATATGGATGCCCCTGATAAGCTTTCGAGAACTGAATCATTCTTCGTGAATTGTAGCGTAAGTGGCTTAAGTGGATTAGACGAGCCAGAAGCAAAACCATTTGGTACCTCGTTAACAGATCCACAAACTAGAGATTTCATGATTGATCGGTTTTTGCCAGCAGCCAAGGCGATGGCTTCAGAAAAGACTTTAGAAATGCCTCACTACGCGCCCAGGAAGCAACCAGCTGTTCAGGAGCAACCAAGACAACTGAAGAAGGTAGTAAATGGGGATAAGCGGCCTCAATTGCGTTATGGACCTAGTTTTGCACGTCATTATTCCCAATTTCATGATAACGGCGAAGAAGAAGAAAGTGATGATGACAGTTATGATGATGGAAATATACCTTATAAAGTTTGTGGATTACTGCCGCGTTTTTGCTTGAAAAGTTCGTTTTGTCTTCTGAATCCTGTACCTGGTATGAGTGTACGAACTCGAGTGCTCATATCTCCTGCCAGTAGAACACGAACTGGATCATCATCTACCGCTTCTTGTAGCGGATCCGAGAATGAGGATAAGAACGATGTGAAAGGCAGGGACATTTCTGCCTATGCTAATGATCTTTCTCAGGACTACGAGAATAAAGCAATCCCTGGATCTAATGAAGAAGGAAATAATCCAGAGCCTGTTTGCTTGGGGTTGCAGAAGAATACCGGTAATAGCTTTCCTTATTGGAACGATGCAAGGGAAGCGGATTTAGAAACTCCTCTGGCGGAGAAAACTCTGCATGTAGATATTGTACATAAGGTGGAATCTCCAATCATGAAATCATGTTCCCCTACGATGGAGAGACCGTTTAACTTACATGATCAGGACCGTGAGATTCTTAAAAAGACAATAGAACAAAAGCCCTTCGTAGATTCTTCGCTTAGCTATTTTACTAAGCCTGTGGACGGTAGAACTTCACAGCAAAATACTCAAAAGGAAATCTCCAATCCACCACAATCAGCAGAAAAATTTAACAACGGAGGGGAAATGATGGCACTGATGGTTTCTGGACAAGCTCAAGACCTTTACCAGGATGCAGTCACCTCAGCGAAGCCAAAGAATGATGTTAAACGCAGTACAAGAAAGCAAAATGTTAAAAAAGAAAAGTTAGAGAACTCAAGCATGGTACACTCGGCGCTTCCTGCTCCCCCTCCTTTACCAAAATCTCCATCAGATTCATGGCTTTGCCGTACTTTGCCTTCACTGTCCACAAAAAATGCATCTTCAAGATCATATGTTGGGACAGGAATAAGTCCAGAAAAACAATCTTGTAAGACACTATCTACTGATCCCAAGTGGGAAACAATTGTTAAAACAACAAAGGGACATCAACAGTATCTGCGGTATTCTGAGGTAAACACTCTCCCTCTCTCAGTGCTGTTTGTGCACTTAGCTTTTCAAGAACCAAAACCCCCCCCACCCCCCCACCCCCCCCCGGTTTTTTTTTTTTTGTTTTTGTTTTAACACTTATCTCCAATCTACCAGGAACGGATGGCTTTGACACCTATACCAGAAGCTCAATAGAAGACGTTAAGGCTTTTCTGAAGTTGTCTGATTGTTTCCCATGCTTTCCCGCGTAAAATGAAATAGTTTCTCTGGTAAATCAATCAGTACAACATGTTGCAACATGATTAATAATATTCGGTTTTGGTCGATTCTACACTTCCTTTGTTTAGTTATAATGGGTTTGTAACTGTAAGTTTTATGCCCAATTCATACGATACTGTAATTACAGAACGGAAATAAAGAAGTCTTTGTACAGGTAAACATGAGAGTCTATCAACATGAATCCCTTAAATGATTGATTTATAATAAGAAGGTTTCTGGTTTTACATGTATAAGTTCTATCTTCTCTGCTCTTTAAGGTTGACATCCTGCAAACTCTATTTGTTGATCATACTTGTCCAAGTCAATGCAGTGTATTACAGAAAATCATTCTTTTTTGCTGTTTGGTTCCGTTAGCACACCGGTTGAACACTCAACAGTGGTATTTTTCATGATATAGTACCTCAATTACAATGAATCAAACTATTAAACTAGCGCTAGCCCCCCCCTTCTATTGCATAACTTAAAAAAGCTATAAACAAAGTACCAAAGTGGTTCAACCCTGAAAAGAGCATATGCATCCTGGGATTCTCTCCATCTCAGAAGTGGATTCCCCTGCAAGGGTACTTGAGTACGACTACGGCTATGAAAAGCTTATTGAAAGAGGAGGAAAGAGCGTAAACTCGACTCTAAAAGTTTCAGTTGCCTCCCTCTCTCCGCCCTATAACTGAAAAAAAGGAGCACGGCCAAGAAAGCGATTTATGTTACAGCCTCCGCCAAGCTAAAGCAGGCACCAAGAGCTTGGTTTGAAAGGTGACAACAGCATGTATAAGAGCCGAAATAGGAGTAGAGGAATGAGCCGCCATGGCTTGCCTCTCGAGGTCCTGTTTGAAAGGCAGTTGCGAGAACCTGTCTGGATTGGGTGGTCCTTTCTCGGGCAGCTACTGACATAAGTCCCGAGCTTCCCTTGGCATACCTTCGTTACCATTACTAAGAAAAGTAAGTAGGAATTCACCCCCCCAGAACAAAGCCCCACCCCTCTTTTCCCCCCTTTAATGAAGGACCCTCGCCTCGCTTCCTATTCATTTGTGGGTCTGGACCCGAGGGCCTTTTTTTTTCAAGAGGTGATTTCGAGAATCAACCAACGGAAAAATTCGTAGCCCAGGCAAGCTATCTACCGCTTTTAACCCTGTTTGCATAGGTTCGTGCACAGATTTACGTTCAATAATACCAGGGGCTTTCACTTCGACACGTCTTCGCTCGATTAAATTATCCACCCGATGACAATAACAAACCCAGTGTAATCCCACATGTAGGGTCTGGGGAGGATAGTGTGTACGCAAACCTTACCCCTATCTTGTGGAGGTAGAGAGGCTGTTTCCGGTAGCCCCTCGGCTCAAGAAATAGTGAAATCCACCCGATGACATATATCCAATCAAACTCCAAAAGCTTTAAACATAAATGTTAAAGTTTCAACCACAACATCCAAATACAATTCAAACTACTGAAGCTACAATAAAGTATTAACATCCAAATTACATCAAACTAGTAATAGATGTTTGGAGAATCACAAGGACATGAAACTAGACATCATTATCACCAGGGGCAGCATCATTTGCCCGTTCAGTGTTATCAAAGTCGGTCTGTGGAGAAAGGGGCAAACGAATATTATTATTCTTGACAGACTTCACCATCCACTTAACCTGAGCCTTGAGCCGTTTAATATCTTTGTCAATGCGCTTGTAATCGTCATTCTTCTCTTGCAGAGACCTTTGACTTAACTCCAACAGCCTCTGTGTCATCTCTAATTGTCTTTGCATTGTCTCCAACTTCCTCCGTGTTGCCTCCAACTCATCCTCCGACTTATCCTGATTCACAGAGGACTGTGAAGAAGAAGAAGCACCAGAAAATCTGGGCGACTGACGGTTAAATGAACGCTGCCCATCTTGCTCGTTGATCGACTGACTCCGAGCGTACTTCTCCAAGCTTTGTTTATACTCATTCTGAAGGAAAAGCGATTACTATTATACACAGTCTTACCTTACATTTCTGTAAGAGACTATTTCCACGGCTTGAACCTGTGACATCCTGCGATTACTATTATAATATAAACTTCTAAAGAAAACGAAAAATGCTTGGACCTTACATATGTTTGCTCAGCCTGTGATTCAACCCAAACCTTTTTTCCATCCTTCTTTTTCTTTGCCTGGGTCTCAGGAAAGACCTCATCACTAGACCCATATCTCTTGTACACCTTTTCATGCAAAAGAAAGAATAGGAGTTCATTGGAAGTTCTAACGAATATAACTGAAAACCAATATAAATATATCAAGAAAGTTACCAATCTCCTCCTGGTCCTCATAGTGACTAAACCCTCGGTGTGCAACGAGCTGTCCTTTTTAGATGCTCGGGCAGCCTTTGCCTGGGAGATCTTCCACTGAATGACCTTACTATCACTAAAATTTTGAAAATGCGCATTGACACTTGGCTCGAACTCTTCATGAGCAGTCCGCAAATGGTATTTTTCTTTGAACCCCTCTTTATAAAGATGAAATTTAACAATCTCCGGTTTCAACAACTTTCTACACTTGCAATTTCCACAAGGACACCTAATCGTGCCTTCATCACCAAATTGAGAAAGCGATGTGGCATAGTCAGTAAACTTAGCTACCCCTTGTACAAATTCTTCATCCAATCCTCCATGATTAGGATAATTTCTATTATACATCCATCTATGCTGTTCAGGTTCCATCTACACAATCATGAAAAAAAGGATAAGATAATTCACTTCTTAAAGTTTTCAATAAAGCAATCTTTTAGATATTTATTCTCAATAATTGCTACTTGCCTGTGACTAAAGAATTAAAGTTTCAATGCATATATCTTAAATTTGTTATTCTCAATGCTTTGTTCTTTCGGCATTACAAGTTTATTAAATGTTAAAATGACTGTCATGTGACTTTATATTAGAGCAACTGTTAAAAATTTGGTGTATTACAGAGAAAACCGATGCCAACGATAGAGTAGAAAATTTTCATCAACTAAATGGAATTGGAAACTCAACAAGAATCACAAAGACAGCAGAAAACTATAAATATCAATTCAAAAAACTAGCACAAATCAATTTTCTATTTTTAGTCATTTACTTTCGATAAAAAAATTAAGTCCTATAAGGTACCCGGGACTGCCACTAAGCTCAAAGAAGCGGATAAAATTGAGTGTCATCAATTAGTGGATAAGATTACCAACAGGATAAATGTTGTATACTCAAAACTTTTATCACACGCTGGTAGGTTAGGTGATTAATGCAGTACTCTTCTCTATTTACAACTCTTGGGAGTTCTGTGTTTATACTATCTCAAAGTGTTCTGAAGGAAACTGATAGGAAGTGTAGAGATTACCTCCGGGGAAGCTCTGTAGAGAAGAGAAAGGTGCCTCTAGTAGCCTGGGATAACGTATGTATACCAAAAAGTATGGACTCAATATTAAAGGGTGCAATAAGTGGAACATTGCTTCTGTGGGCAAATTATTATGGCAATTGGCAGAGAAGGAAGACCTGTTATGGATCAAATAGGTACATGGAGTTTATATGAAAGCAAATACTAACATATGGATTCATGTACACTCTCTTGATTGTAGTTGGTATTGGAGGAAACTGAATTCTCTAAAAGTAGAAATGGAGTGGTATCATAATGGGTAAGTATGCTGATTGCCTCTGGGAAATGCTCAATCACTAGCAGTTATATTGCTATGTTGGGAAACCTGACTAGACTACTTGCAACAAAGTTAATATGGAGCTCTATTATGCAGGCAAAACACATAATGATTCTATGGTTGGCTGCTTACAAAAGATAAACTTTTGAAATTACATGTTATAGTACAAGACACAAACTGCTGCTTATGTAATGAAATGGTTGCTGAAATCCAAGATCATCTGTTTCAGGACCGTCGATGGACAACAGAATTGAGGACTGCTATACTTCAATGGGCTGATATGACAATTCCATGGGGGGCTGTAATGCAGGTGTTGGAGAAGATCAAAAGAAAGCACTGGAAGTTTTTAAAAAAGGAAGTAGCTGCAGCAATTTTGAGGGCCTTGATATACTAACACTTGAAAAGCCAGGAACGGGAAAGTGATTAAAGGAACCAATGTAAATACTAATTTTGTGATGACACTGTTACAAAAGGAATTTAGAGATAGGATAGACATACAAAGGAACTCTAGGAAAGCTAGAGGTAGCAATTCTTTGCTCCAAAAAATATTGTAACTAGCGATTAGTAAGAGGCCTGAGAGTACGTTGCACCTTTCCTAGAAGGTGGTAATGGTTCTACGTGTTCTTTAGATTGTACTAATTTATTTGTTAAATGATAATATTTCACAGTTATTACCAACAACCAAAAAAAAACTAGTCCTTGTTCCACATGCGTAAACAGTAAAAACAATAAATTAAATTACCTATATAAACTAAATCGTAATAACTAAACATCTAAATTAATAATAAACAAAATTACCCCATATAAACTAAACCCAAAATACCAAAAATCTATATAAACAAATAAACAAAAACAGATATCACCACTACATTACCTAAATAATAAACCAAAAAAATAAACGCTGATACATCTGAAACTAAACATCTAAATAAATATCTAGACAGATCTCAGAATTAAACATCTACATAAACAATAAACAAAATTACAGGTCAATTGTTTTTTTGGCTTTTTACAAACATATTTTTCGTTTTATGACCCTACATCTTTTTTTACACATACATAATTTACGTTTACACGTAAGACATTTATCTTTTTACACGTAAGAGAGTAAAAAGGTCATTTTCTTAAATTCAAAATTGTAAAGAGTCATGATGTACAAATAGCACCAAAATTACCACATGTAAACTAAATCCAAAAACTAAACATCTATATAAACAAATAACAAACAGATATAAAAAAAAAAAATCGAAGAAAAAAAACTGCTCTGGACAGGGAAAATCTTACCTGAGTGAAGTACGACCCCGGTGAAAGGAGGAGGCTGCGTGGAGGTGAAAGTTGAGGAAGAGAGAAATGACCGAAGAAAAAAGAAAAAGAAAAATGAGAAAGAACAAGGGTTTCGTCCGTTTTATAACATTTATTTTCCGAGGGAAACCGTGAGTCAGTCCGCCAAAACTCACTTTTATTAATCTTCGTACTTTGCCTTGGTCGGAGCGCCTTATTTCCGACGGAAGCCGTCGGTCGGTTAAAATTAATTAAATTCATATATTAATATTCGTGTTTTCCGTCTAAGCTCACTGAACTGCTGAGACCTTTCAATTTTAGGAAGGCTAGAATGGTTAGGAGTCACAACAAAAATGGTCCAGAACAATGAATTCAGGCTCAATGAAAACTCTCAGAAATTATAAAAACTATGAATTTTTGTTATTACTTTTATTTGCAAAGTGACTGATAAGCAAACAATGTTTTCTTTTTCTTCCTCAAAAGTTAGAAAAAATACTAAATTATGTGACATGATCCTAACCAACCGTTATAATTCTGGTACTCTAGGTAGGAAATTGAGTCCTCAATGAATATGCATTCTACAGATATAATAGAGTAGTAAGAATAGGCTATGTTCTTGGTTTCTTCTTTGGATGGTGATGATGATAGCTGTAGTGAAGCTTACACTAAAGGCCTGCTCTTGCTCTGCCTTATCGTTTTCTCAGTTTTAGTAGTGTCAATAGTGGTATTTGCATGTGGTGATCATCCTGAAAAAGACTTGACTCCATCTAAGAGAAAAATAAAATCAAGCTAAAGCTCACTAATACTCATGTTTCTGATTGCGGAAGTACTGGTAGCAAAATCGTGTGTATTTTGGTGGTGCTGGTTGTGGTGGTGGAAGGGGCGACTATTAGAGGCGGAGCTAGCCCTTCGGATATGGGTACTGAACTCAGTAACTTTTGTTCAAATCTTGTATTTATCTTAAAATTATTGAATTTAAAACACAAACTTAAAAGAATTAGAATACTGAATCATAAATTTTGAATCCCGGCTCCCCGTCTACGGATATGGCGTGGTGGCTGAGTGACTGTAAACTTTGATATTGCTCTATTGACTTATGAATGCACTATTCTAGGCTGAAAGTGCTTTGTTGAGTTTCCTTATTATTTTCTTTCGTTTGTCCGCTTTACGTTTACATTTTATTTTAAAACCAATCATCACTTCTTAATTAATTATGTTAGTATTCAATACTCAAGAAGACGTGAGTTTAAGAAAATAAAAATAAAAATTTTTGAGCCCTTATGCTTCTTGCGTGTCCTTAAGGAATTCAATTCTTTCACAGTTGTCCAAGGTTTCAGATTAATTCATTTCAAGATAGAACGGAATAACTAGCGGCACTTCAAATCACAGCGGCGAACTCAAATGGCGGAGCAAATCATACAAAATGCTTATGTTTTTATTTTGAGAAACAATGCAGAATGCAGAAGATAGAGGGAGAGATTTTGTTGGGTTTTTAAGCATTAATGAGGCTTAAAAGAGGGTGATTGGGAAATGTGGGGAAAGGAAAATTTTAAGTGAAGATTTAAGTTTCCCCCCTTGATGAAGGAACATTGTCCCATATTGGAAGAGGAAAAGGTTTTTGATGGGTATATAAGCAATTGCTCTTCTTCTAGCTCATAAAGAGTTGAGAAGAAGGCAAGCCTCGCGCCGTCATCGTCGTCGCTCGCTCGGCTCGGCTTTGGCTTCGGATTCATTAATTAATGGACCCCTTCAATTTTCCCTCTTGGAGTAAATAGCCATTTATGCTGTGGCCGTTTTGCATAAACAACGATTCTGAAGAGTTGCACCGCTTCAGATTTCAGCCCAACTTTGGCTATAAATACAAGACTATTCTGCTCAGAATTTTCATACGAATTTTCTGAGTTCTTCTCCTTTCTTCTGCATATTTTAACTTCAAAGAAAGCAACAGTAAGTGTGATTTGCTACCGAACTTTGTGTTCGCTGGAACACTGGGGTTTGAAGTACCACTACACCAGTGTGTAATTCATTCTATCCTGGAAGGAAATAATCCATAACCTTGGGTACTAGGAGGCGATTAAATTCCTTAAGGAAACACTGTGAATTTAGTGGGTTCGAATTGTTTTTTTTATTTCGTTTACATTTTTTTTCTGTTATTTATTTTCTCCAGAATTATTTTACAAATACAGATTACTAACAAGTTTAAGGAATTTAATATATTTTCTGTATTTGTACTCACTGTTTTTGGAGAGTAAAACCTTTGTGGTTTTGTACTCTATTGGAGATTAAAATCTACGTGATTTTAACGTTTGTGTCATTCTTTTACAGAAATGACTAATGAAAATGTGAACCAAGCTGTTCCAATGGTGACTGCCAATGCCTCAACGAGCCGAACAACACCGGCATCATTGGCACCGGCGGAGAAACCCAGAAAATTTTTCTGGATTGATTTCAAGCGCTGGCAGCAAAAGATGTTCTTCTACTTGACTACTCTAAGTCTCCAGAAGTTCATCAAGGAAGATGTTCCTGTGCTATCCGATGAAACTCCAGAAACGGAACGTTTTCTCGTGATTGAGGCGTGGAAGCATTTAGATTTTTTGTGCGAGAATTATATTCTAAGCGGGCTGGAGGATGCTTTGTATAACGTCTACAGTGGCGTGGAAACGTCAAAAGAATTGTGGACTACACTTGAAAAGAAATACAAAATTGAAGATGTCGGGTTGAAGAAGTTCGTTGCTGCAAAGTTTTTGGACTACAAAATGGTAGAGAGCAAGTCTATTATTACCTAAGTCCAGGATTTGCAAGTGATTATTCACGATCGCCTTGCTGAAGGTCTTGTCATAAATGAAGCATTCCAAGTAGCAGCGATGATTGGAAGTTGCCTCTGTTGTGGAAGGACTTCAAAAACTACTTGAAACACAAACGCAAGGAGATGTCCCTTGAAGATCTCATTGTTCGGTTGAGAATCGAAGAGGACAACAAAGCTGCTGAAAAGAGAGGCCGTGGAAACTCAACCATAATGGGAGCAAATATTTTTGAAGAGAACAAAAAGAGGAAGAAGGCTTCTGGACCGAAATACAACCCAAGCAAGAAGCGGTTCAGTGAAAATTGCTACAACTGTGGAAAAGCCGGACACAAATCTACGGAGTGTCGTGCTCCGAAGAAAGACAAGAAGAAGGGTCAAGCAAACATGGTTGAAAAGCATGATGATGTTGATGGCTTGTGTGCCATGCTTTCCGAGTGCAACTTGGTGGGCAATCCTAAAGAGTGGTGGATTGATTCTGGAGCCACTCGCCATGTTTGTGTTGTTAGAGAAGCTTTTGCTACTTATGCTCCTGTTGGACCCGATGAGATGCTTTCTATGGGAAATGATGCAAAGGCCAAGATTGAAGGACGTGGGAAGATATTTCTCAAAATGACTTCCGGCAAAGTGGTGACTTTGAACAACGTCCTTCATGTTCCCGAGATTAGGAAGAATTTAGTCTCTGTTGAACTTCTTGTTAAGAATGGTTTTAAATGTGTATCTGTATCCAATAAGGTTGTAATAAGTAAGAACGAGATGTTTGTAGGAAAAGGTTACCTCACCGAGGGCCTTTTCAAGCTGAATGTAATGGTTGTTGAAAATAATAATAAAATTTCAGCTTCGTCTTACTTACTTGAGTCATATGAATTATGGCATATACGTTTGGGTCATGTCAATAATAAAACCTTGTGGAAAATGATTAATTTGGAAGTATTGCCTAAGTTTGAATGTGACAAATCAAAATGTCAAGTACGTGCGGAATCTAAGTATGTTAAACATCCTTATAAATCACTTGAAAGGAATTCAAATCCTTTAGACTTAATTCACATAGATATTTGTGACATGAAGTCAATACCATCTCGCGGTGGAAAGAAGTATTTCATAACTTTTATTGACGCCCTCGATATTGCTATGTTTACTTACTTAATAGTAAAGATGAAGCAATAAACGCATTCAAGCAATACAAAAATGAAGTTGAAATGCAACTTAACAAGAAAATCAAAATGATAAGAAGTGATAGGGGTGGTGAATATGAATTTCCCTTTGAACAAATATGTTTAGAATATGGAATTATTCATCAAACAACACCCCTTACATGCCCCAATCCAATGAGATTGCAGAAAGAAAGAATCGTTCATTAAAGGAGATGATGAACGCATTATTGATAAGTTCTGGTTTGCCACAGAACTTGTGGGGGAAAGCCGTTCTTACGGCTAGCCGAATACTAAATCGAGTACCCCATAGAAAAACACAATCCATTCCATATGAAAAATGGAAAGGAAGGAAGCCCAACTTGAATTTATTTTGAAGTGTGGGGGTGTTTGGCAAAAGTGCAAGTTCCTAAATCCAAAAGGGTAAAAATAGGACCGAAAATCGTTAATTGTGTTTTCATAGGATATGCGACTAATAGTAAAGAATATCGATTTCTGGTTCATAAATCCTAAAATCCCAACAATCATAACAATACAGTTATAGAATCAGATAATGCTGAGTTCTTTGAAAATATATATCCGTATAAAAAAGAATGTGAGTGGATTGGTGAAGGATCTAAACGACCTCGGGAAGAAACAAAAGAAAGTACATTTAATTAGGAGGATCCAAGACATAGTAAACGTCAAAGAACGTCTACTTCATTTGGACCAGATTTTGTGACTTTCTTATTGGAAAATGAGCGTTTAACATTTAAAGAAGCTTTGTCTTCTTCGAAATCATTGTTTTGGAAAGAGGCAGTCAATAGTGAAATAGAATCCATACTGAACAACCATACATGGGAATTGGTTGATCTTCCTCCTGGAATAAACCGTTGGGTTCTAAATGGATCTTTAAGAGGAAAATGAAAGATGATGGCACTATTGACAAATTTAAGGCAAGACTTGTGGTCAAAGGGTATAGACAATGAGAAGGTCTTGACTATTTCGATGCATACTCTCCAGTTACAAGAATTACATCCATACGAACGTTAGTAGCGTTAGCTGCAGTTTATGGTCTTAGAATTCATCAAATGGATGTTAAGACAGCCTTCTTAAATGGAGAGTTGGAGGAAGAGATTTACATGGAACAACCTGAAGGGTTTGTGGTTTCAGGTAAAGAAAAGAAGGTATGTAGACTTGTTAAGTAACTTTACGGACTAAAACAAGCAACCAAACAATGGCATGCGAAATTTGACCAAACAATGTTGTCAAATGGTTTTAAAATAA